TGTGGTTATTTAAACCTGGGAACCAGGCTTTTCTGGCTTTCATAGTTTGCACTGAAAAGTCAGCTGTAATCCTGATGGGTTTTCCTTTATATGTGACTTGTTGTTTTTCTTTTTCAGCTTTCACTATTGTCTCTTTGTTCTGAACGTTTAGTGTTTTTACTATGATGTGCTATGGAGAGTTTCTTTTCTGGGCCTGTCTGTTTGGTGTTCTGTATGCTTCTTGTGTTTGTATGGGCATGTCTTTCTTTAATTTTGGGAAATTTTCTTCTACAATCCTGTTGAAGATCTGGTCCATACCATTATCTTGAGATTCTTCTCTTTCCTGTATGCATATGATTCGTAATTTTGGTCTTTTTATGGTGTCACACAATTCTTGCATATTCCATTCTTGTGTTTTCTTAAATTTTTCATCATCTTTGCCTGAGTGGTCTAGTTCATCCACTTTATCTTCCAGTCTTGATATTCTGTTTTCCCTTTCATTCATCCCATTGGTGAGGCTTTCTCTTGTCGTTTCTAACTGGCTTACTGAGTGTTTCACTTCCTTCTTTATTTCAGCCTGAGTAGTCTTCAATATTTCTACCTCTTTTCTGAATTCATTAGATGTTTATCACTATCTTCCTTCAGTTCTTTGATTTGTGTTTTCTTTAAATTCACTGAATTCTTTTATTATATTTATACTTGTTCTTTTGAGTTCCCTGTCCTGTGTTATCTCTAGGGGGTTCTCATTGTGCTCCTCTAGAGGACTATTGGTACTTGGTGGGGATATATTATTTTAGTTTTTCACGTTATTATTTTTCCCTGTGATTTTGACATGTGGATTTCTTTTGTAGTTTCTGACTCAAGCCTTCCTTTGTTGAGTTTAGGTCTGCTTCTTTTTGTAAACTTTATGTGCCTTTGTGGTTTACTTGTTGGGCATGAAAAGCTGGTTGGCCTATGCTTCAGAGTCTTTTTTTTTTTTTTTTTTTTTGGGGGGGCCAAATTGCTTTTTTTTTACGGGGTTCCCCCAGAGGCCCAAGTCAGATGAGGATCAGATGCTCTCAGGCTTTCTCCTAAGGTCTGGATCCCTCCAGGAAAGATGCTGCCCTCAGGAATTTGGGGGCTGGGCTGGACTGGGAGCAGGGCCCAGAAAAGTTGCTGGTCTCAGGAAGCTGGTGGCTGTGTCATCCAGGGATGCAGGTCTCCTGGGGACTGCGGGGAGGAACTGTGTTGGTCTGGATGCAAAGAATCAGGAATCAGTGGTGGCTCTGGGCGTAGAGGTCAGCCCCCGTGTCTGGGGTGCCAAGACAAGAAATGGGCCAGTACCCAAGCTAGGAGGAGAGACAGGTCAGGGGAGCTGAGAGGGTGAATGAGGTGGGGGGGGTGTCAAGGCGCAGTGGGTGCCACCAGACTTACCCAGGAAATGTGCTGGCGTGAGGATGCTGGAGGCTTTGCAGCCCAGGGAAGCAAAGGGAGGTGAGGGCAGTACCAGGCCCAGAGGGCTCCTGGGGACTGCAGGGAGGGATTACATTGTTCTGGATGCAAAGGATCAGGAAGCAGTGGGGATTTCTGGGCCTAGAGGTCAGTCCAGGAGTCTGAGTCTAAGAACTGGGCCAGTACCCAGGCTAGGAGGGGAGCTGTAAGGGTGAATGAGGCTTGGCGGGGGGTTGAGGCGTGGTGGGTGCCACTAAACTTACCCAGGAAAGGTGCTGGCACCAGGATGCTGGAGGCTGTGCAGCCCAGGGAAGCAAAGGGAGGTCAGGCCCCTCTAGCTTTTTCCATTTAAATCCAAATTTTGTGATCTTTCATCACCACAAAGATTAATTGCAAATGTGGCATATTATATATTTTCTTGAGAGAGGATGTTATGTATCGCAGGCTGGCTTTAAACTTGTTATGTAGCTTAGAATGACCTTGAACTTTTGATATTCCTACCTCTACAGAGTTAGGATTACCAGTATGTAACACTGTACCACCACACCCAGTTTATGCAGTACTAGGGACCAAACCCAGGGTATGCTGGAGAAGCCCTCTACCAACTAAGCTACATCTCCAGCCCCAAAGTACTGTCAATGCAACCTCAAGTCAATGTTTTCCTTTTGATGGGCAGTAATGTGGAGGGAACCCTGGGCATCGTGCATGAGAGAGAAGCTTTCTACTACTGAGGCCCAGCACCAGCCTTGTGTAGCATAGTCTTTTACAAACCACAAACCAATATGTATTGATCTTGAGTAGTTCTAACCTCCAGTTGATTCTGAATAATAAAAGCAAATATAATAACAATAATTAGAAGGAGGAGCTGCAGTACCCCACAATAAACTGAATATGGATATAACCAGATAACCTGATTAGTTTCTGACCTCTGTCCATTCTTTCTCAAAGAATGCAGAAAATATTCTTGGGGTGTGTGTGTGTGTGTGTGTGTGTGTGTGTGTGTGTGTGTGTGTGTGTGTGAGAGAGAGAGAGAGAGAGAGAGAGAGAGAGAGAGAGAGAGAGAGAGATGAGAGAGAGAGAGAGAGAGAGAGAGAGAGAGAGAGAGAGAGAAACTGGCTAAAATGAGCAGTGACGTCTCAAGAAGCAGGACAGAAGGACAAAGTTGAGTCCCTGTGTTTCCGGCAGTCTTTGGTCATATTTTTCTGGATCAGGCTGAAAGGGGTCACCTAGAAACCAAGAGATGCCATAATTTACATGCCCTAGCCAGGCCCACAATCTGAAATTATCTGTAATATTTAAATCAGAGAGAAAAAAAACACCACCAAATATCACCAAACCATCAACAGTACCAGAATGGATTTGAATTTTGTCACTGGGCACCAGATCTGGTACAACAGCGCTCCTATAATTTATGCATGGAATAACGAATCTCTTCATTTTTTGTTGTTGTAGTTTGTTTTGATTTGAGACAGATTCAGTGTCTTAGCCCATGTTAGCCTTGAACTTGCAATCCTCCTGCCTCAGCCTCCTAAATGCTGGAAAAAAAATTTTTTAATTTAGAAAATATATTTAAGGGGCTGGAGAGATGGTTCAGCAGTCAAGAGCACTGGCTGCTCTTGCAGAAAACCCAAGTTTGATTCCCAGCACCCATATGGCAGCTAACAACCATATATAACTCCAGTTCCAAGGGTCTGACACCCTCTTCTGACCTCTGTGGGCATTGCACAACATGGATGCACCTATCTACATGTAGGCAATACACTCATACACATAAAATAAAAAATAAATTAAAAAAACATATATTTAATTCTCAAAACAATAATTGTAAGTTAGATATATTATTATTCCCCTTTTATGATGAGGCATCTAAGAGACAGGGGAGTTAAATGACATCCCCAAGGCTACAGAACTGCTACGAGCTCCAGTCTGTGCTCCTCACTTTGATAGTGAATTTTTGCATACTAGACTTGAAAGTAGAACATGCCTGACTGAGTTCTACCCCTGGAGGTCATGTAACCAACAGGAGACACATTGGGCAGCTGTCCAGAAGGCCAAGTACTGCCTAGATGTCCCATGTTTATGATACCTACTATTTCCTTTACAAGTGACTTGCCTAGTTGAGAATTGCCTAGTTGTAGTCTAATAGAATTCTATATATGCATAACTCATTCTGTTATTTTTAGTGAGTCAGAGTTTTTTCTGTACCTCAGGGTTTCCCTGTTGTAAAACAGGGAAAATCAGATTGTTCTTTCTCTTGTCACCCAAGAAAAATGTATGATGATCTTGGAGTCCTGTACATCTGTACTGACCAGGAAGATAGTCACTAGCCACATAGTTATTAGACATTTGGAGTGTGGCTCATATGCATTTAGACATGCTGTAAGACATGCTATAAATTTCAAAAACGTAATACCAGAAAATTAATATTTTATTAATGGAAGATAGCTCACTGGGTAAAGTGCTTGCTGAGTTTGGATCCCCAGCTCCCATGTAAAAGCCTGGCCTGGTAGCACTGTGTGGGTGGAGATGGGTAGATACCTGCAGCCCACCAGCCATCCAGTGTAGCCAATTAGTGAACTCTGAGTTCATCGAGAGACCCTATCTCAAAAATTAGGATGGGAGCTAAGCATGGTGGTATACGCCTTTAATCTCAGCACTCGGGAGGCAGAGGCAGGCAGATCTTTGTGAGATCCAGGCCAGCCTGGTCTACATAGCAGGCCAGGCCAGTCAGGGCTGTACATTGAGACCCTGTGTCAAAAACAAAGGAAAACTTAAGATGGAGAGGGATAGAGCAAGATATGCCAAGTTGACCTCTGGCCTCTGCATGCATGCACACACACATGCATGCACACCTTTACATGCAGGCACAAATGCATATACTACAAGCACATACATACAAATAATATTTTAATATACTGTGTTAAGTAAAATATACAATTATTTATTTTTACTTCAATGTGGCAACTGAGAAATGTAAATTTAAATACATGGCTCACAGGCTGGGGGATGGGTCAGTAGGCATCCTCAGTTTGATCTCCAGAACCCTTTAAAAAAATACTGGGTGTGGGGACTGGAGAGGTGGCTCAGCAGTTAAGAACACTTGCTGTTCTTCCAGAGGACCTAGGTTCGGTTCCCAGCACCCACATGATGGCTAGCAACTGTCCATAACTCTAGTTCCAGGGGATCCTACTCTGTCTTCTGGCCTCCATGGGTATTACATGCACATGGTACACATATATATGCAGGCAAAACACTCATACACATAAAAACCTTTAAAAAAACTACTGGGTGTGGTGGCTCGTATCTGAAGCCCCAGGACTGGGGAGCAGGAAACAGGAGGATCCTTGGGGCTCTTTGGCCAGCCAGTCTAGCCCAATTTGTAAGCTGCAGGCCAATGACACACCCTGTCTCAAAGGAAGTGCACAGTGTTCCTGAAGAACAACACTTGTCATCCTTTGGCCTTCACATGTGTGCACATACATGTACACACACATGGACATGTACTCACACATATAAAAAATGTAGCTTACATGTTTCTCTTGGTGGTAATTGTGATTGAAAATCTATTTGTCTTTCTCTTATGTTACCAGGGCAACAGAGAAGAAGCCGACAATCCAAATACAGGGATTGGTGCCTTCCGATTCATGTTGGAATCTAATAAGGGCAAGTCAATGTTGGAGTTCCAGGTACTGTTGCACCTACATCCCTGGCTCTAGTAACATGGGTCAGCCTAATACAACATGTATAATGCCCCCTAGTAATATCAAGAGTTGGCGATTTCATGCTTTGTAAAAAGTTCCACACATGCTCTGATGCAGGCTCTTAGCATCCAGTTACTATCCTGGCATTTCACATTTTCTTCCTCCAGGAGCTAATGACAGTTTTTCAACTGCTGCACTGGAATGGCAGCCTTAAGGCCATGAGGGAAAGACAGTGCTCTCGACAGGTAAGAGGTGAGGGGAGAAGGGCAAGACTGCTTTGGGCTGGCTGTGTTAAAGATAGGCAGGCCTAGGGCTACCAGGCTATGACTACTCAAAGTATCCTCAATGTCAATGTCCTCTTCACTTTTTTTTTTTTTGAGACAAGGTCTCTCTATGCATCCCTGGTTGGCCTAGCACTCTCTATGTAGACTAGGCTGGTCTTGAAATCACTGAGATCTACCCACTTCTCCCTCTAGAGTGCTGGGATTCATGGTGTGCACCACCACTCCCAGTTCATCCTCTTTACTCTTGTATTCTTTGCTCTGAAACTTCCCTGTGATCCTTTTGCTTGCCTCCCTTCTTCCACCAGTTTCCCTTAGGAAACTCCTTGGCCTGTGTTCTGGCCATGATATGAACAGCTCTACTCCACCATGCCTCTCCTCCAAGATCGGCTCGCAACTCTGAAACTGTCACCTTCTGGATGTCTTTCATACTAAGACCAAAAGGGCCAAATCTGTCACATTAAATTGCTGATCAGTTTTCTGTATTTCACTGGGCCCTTCAGTTCCTTCTAGACCAACAAGGTGCTGGTCTGGAGCATATCATCATGGCATTTGTAACATAACTTGGTGCCAAGGTAGAGGGATTCCTACAGACCTTGAGCAAGTGTTGATGGTGACTTACAGCAGTGTGCTGAGGTTGTCACCCATTCAGAAGTCTTCATGTTTTGTTTTAAAAGATTACTGTGGGCCAGGCGTGGTGGTGTATGCCTTTAATCCCAACACTCAGGAATCAGAGGCATGCGGATCTTTGTGACTTCAAGGCCAGCCTGGTCTATATAGTGAGTTCCAGGCCATCTGGGGTTACAGGGAGACCCTGTCTCAAAAAGACAGAAAAGATGACCATGGGGCTGGAGAGATGGCTCAATGGTTAAGAGCATTGGATGCTCTTGCAAAGAACCCAGGTTCTGTGCCCAGCACCCATGTGGCAGCTAACAACCATCCTTAACTCCAGTTCTAGGGGATCCCACACCCTCTCCTGACACACGAGTGCACTTACATACATGCAGGCAGAACACTCATACACGTAAAATAATAATAAATATTTTTGAAAGATGATGTTTCCCACTGAAGTCAAAATCCTTCTGCATGTTGTTGAGGTACTAGAAGGTCTGGCCTGTCTCCAAGCTCAGGGCTTTGACTGCTTTGAACTGTATTCTGTTCCCCACAGCACCAGCAGCTGTGCCTGCTTAGCCAGAGCATATGTCCTCTCTCTCTCTTTGGTCCTTTCTGATTTACTTAAACTCCTACAAGACAGAAAAAAGGGCGAGGCATGGTGGTTTATGCCTTTAATCCCAGCACTCTGGAGGCAGAGGCAGGTGGATCTCTGTGAGTTCGAGCCCAGCCTGGTCTATATAGCAAGTTCCAGGTCAGCCAGTGCTGCATAGTGAGACTCTATAACAAGAAAATAAATAAATAAATAAATAAATAAATCTCTTTGGAGGGCATAGGTGCTAACTCCAGTTTGGACCCCAAGGCCAAGTGCTTATTCCATTGGGGTCAGAGGACTACATGGTATATGTGATATATATTTTTACCTTCTCAGTGATCTTTGCATGTTTCAACCCAACCAGGAGGTGTTGGCTCATTATTCACACCGGGCTCTTGATGATGATATTCGCCACCAAATGGCCTTGGACTGGGTGAGCCGGGAGCAGAGTGTGCCAGGCGCACTGTCTAGAGAGCTGGCCTCTACTGAACGGGAGCTGGATGAAGCCCGGCTGGCTGGCAAGGAGCTGCGCTTCCACAAGGAGAAGAAAGATATTCTCATGCTGGCTGCTGGGCAGTTGGGCAATATGCATTCATCCAACTGCTAAGCATCTACCCTCAGCTCCCCATCCTCTTTAGGCCTTTTTTTGTATATCTCCTTTCTAAGACTTAGGATGATTTCTGTATATACTTCCTCAATTTTATACTAAATATAGAGATATATATGTATGAATTCTACATCTGGATTCCTGTTTGCTAAGAGATCCCTTTTCTAACTTGCAGTTTTTGGATTTAGTTACATTTGAAATATCACCATTTCACGTTAGAACTTTGTTGGCTCTTAAACCAACAGGTTAACTGTGTGAGTCATTTCAGTACCATAGTGTAATTGACTAAGTGTTCATGTCCTTTCTTTTAAAATAGCAGCAAAGTGTGACGATTCATGGCTGTAACCTCAGTACTCAGGAGGCTGAGGCAGTTTTGCTATCACTTTGTGGCCAGCCTGGACTATGTAGTCAGTGCTGGGTTAGCCTGGGCCACAGTAATACCTGTCTCAAACCTCTCTTCTCCCACAAATTAAAACAGGCCAAATAAGGGCTGTGTGCCCCACCCTCACCCTTATCCTTGCCTTTCCCTAGACAACAGGGTTTGAGTGTAAAGCCTTTGGCTTTGGTTTATCTTGAGGTGACCTGCTTGGTACTCCCCCACTCCTCACCACCTTTCTCCATCTTAGCCTCTAAATGCTCCTTTGTTTTGAAGTGCTAGGATTACAGTGAAGCACCACCTCACCTGTCTTAAACCCTATTTTAACTTTCCTTCAGTGATTGATAGAAGCCTTTTTCTCTTTAGAAGCAATATCTGTTCTGTTTAGTGAGGCCCATGTTCCTCTCATTTCCAGAGTTGCACTGTTTACTACCTTAAATTTATGCACCTTCTCATTTATTTTGTCTTCCTTTTGTCCATATTGATTATGAGTTGATCAGGAAAATTAGATGAGAATATGGTATTTTGATACTTCCTGAGTGAAGCCTTGGAAGACTGCAGGAGAGGAAAGAGAACCAATGAAGTAAGAAGGAAATGATCTGGCATGCACTCAGAAAGCTGTGCTTCTGGAGAAATACATGCAGTGAGCTAATTCCCCCTCATTTTTGCGATCCCCTTTATTCACTGTACTTCTAAACTCAATTTGGGAAGTTTAATGCTACTATGCTTGGACTTTCCATTTAAGAATTACAGTTATTACAGTTTTTTTTTTTTTAGTAGATTAGGAGCTGGACCTGGTGGTGCAGACCTGTAATCTCAGCTACCCTGGAGGTTGAGGCAGGAGGATAATTTCAAGGTTCACCTGGGCTATACAGTATTGGGTTCAAGACCATCCTGGGTAACTTCGAATGACCCTATCTTAAAATATAAAGTAAAAACAGGGCTGGGGATATAGTTCAGTAGTAGAGTGCTTGACTGTCATGTGAGGCCTAAATTCAGTCTCTAGTACTGCAGAAAGAGAGAGAGAGAGAGAGAGAGAGAGAGAGAGAGAGAGAGAGAGAGAGAGTAAAGAATTGGGAGGGAGGGAGTAGGTAGATTAGGAAACATCAGTTAGTTTGGCAGAACAAGATGAACAGCAGCTTTCTTGCTTTTGAAATCATCTTTGTCACAATGACACATGGGATCAGAGATCAGGAGTCCAGCTACAATAATATTGGTGCTCAAAAAAAGGGTTTTTTTTCTTATTTTATTTGTATGAGTGTATTACTTGCATGTATGTAAGTGCACCGGTATCATGCAATGCCTGCAGAGGTCAGAAGGTGGTGTTGGATCCCCTGGAACTGCAGTTACGATGGTTGTTAGCCACAGTGTGGGTGCTGAGAATCAAACCTGGGTCCTCTATAAGAGCAGTGAGTGCTCTTTCCACTGCCCCCCCCCCCTTTTTTGAGACAGGGTCTCCCTGTAGCCCCAGCTGGTGAAAACTTGGTATGTAGACCATGTTGGCCTCAATCTCACAGAGATCAGCCTGCCTCTGCCTCTGCCTCCTGAGTGCTGGGATTAAAGGTGTGCACCACCATGCCCAGATAGTTGTTGTATCTGTTTTTAATTGATATTTATAACCCAGAAGTTATGAACCCTTCAATTGTTCTTGTGCTTTCTTTGTGTAGAAAGTGTTAAGGGGTATGAGTTGTGGGAAGAATTATCCTTGTACTGCCTGGATTTATTATTTTCCTCAAAAACTCAAGACCCCAAAAAAGATGAGAAAAACTGTTCTGTACACTTTTGATGTTAAAGATTTTAGTTATCTTTTTAGTACCCTCTATGTATTTTATATGTATAATTTTAATTAATTAAAAATAGGTTTTTGTCTAGTAAGCCAGAATGACTTTTTTTTTTTTTTTTTTTTAATGACAGGGTCTTGTGTAACCCAGGTTGGCTTCCAATTTGCTATGTTTCCAAGACTGGATTCGAACACCTGATCTTCCAGCGTCCATCTCCAAAGTACTGAGAGTAGAAGCATATGCCACCAAGTCTATGTTTTTGTTTTTAGAGACAAGGTCTTACTCTGTAGCCACAGCAGGCCTGGAACTTGCTGTGTAGACCATGCTGGCCTCAAACTTGTAGCGATGTCCTTCTGTTTCCCAAATCTGGAATTAGTTATGCATTACCACATCTGGCCAGAGTGACTCTGAGACTTGTATCAGGGAAGCTCTAAAATTATCTCATTGACTTACACGTATACCAAAATAGAATTTTTGAGGGTGGTAGAAATAATATTGTACTGCTGGGGAAAGGCAACCTGCCTCCCCTTCTACTGTCACTTACCATTAGCAGCATGTCCCAAAGTTTATATGTGAGCATTGGTGTTTGTTGAGATGATTTAAGGTGGTAGATGGACACACACATTTTTTTAAAGATACAGTCTCATTGTATCCCAAGCTGGCCCTGAACTTTCTATGTAGCTGAGGATAACCTTGAACTTCTAATCTTCTTGTCTCTGAGTACAGTTGTGTGCAATTGGTTTATGTGGCCCTGGGAATCAACTCAGGGCTTTGTGTATCCTAGGCATGCACACTCTGCCAAATGAGCTACATCTCCAGCCCTGATAAACACATAATAGTTATACTTTTCTGTGAACTGATAGTAGAAAAATGTTTTTATATTTATAGTAGTATTATTAAATTTATTTTTTTTAAAGGTCTGTTTAAGGGACTAGAGAGATGGCTCAGCAATTAAGAACACTGGCTGCTCTTGCAGAGAACCCAGGTTCAGTTCCCAGCACTCTAGTTCCAGGGGATCCATCACCCTCTCATGGTCTCTCTGGGAATTGCACGACATGGGTACACTTATATGCAGGCAAAACACTCATACACAGAAAAAAAAATAAAGTCTGTTTAGGGAAAAATGCCAAACAAAAAATAATATGGGCGATATGGGGTGTATTTTTAAACATCATGGATATGCAGGCTGGAGAGATGACTCAGCAGTTAAGAGTACTGGCTGCTCTTGCAGAGGACCCAGGTTCAGTTCCCAGCACTCCAGTTCCAGGAGATCCAGCACCCTCTTCTGACCTCTGTGGCATTGCACAACAGGGGTGCACTTACATACACATAGGCAATCCACTTATACACATAAAATACAAATATAAAAAAGTCATGGATATGGGGTTGGAGAAATGACTCAACAGTTAGCACTTGCTGCTCTTGCAAAAGACCTGAGTTTGTGCCCACCACCCACACTAGGAGGCTTATAACCACCTGTTATCAGAGCCAGAAAATCTGATGCCCTCTTCTTTATCTCCATGGGCAACTGTACTTATGTGTACATATCTCTACCTAGATGCATGCATATACATAATTTTTTAAAAAGTCTTTAAAAAATTATGAGTAGCTAGGCATGGTGGTGCATGCCTTTAATCCCAGCACTTGGGAGGCAGAGGCAGGCAGATCTTTGTGAGTTTGAGGCCAGCCTTGTCTACATAGTGAGTTCTAGGACATCTGGGGCTACAGGGAGATCCTGTTTCTAAAAAAAAAAAAAAAAAAAAAAAAAAAAGAGTACTCAGGAACAAGAATCAATTCATGGAGGGGAGGTTACAACCTAAATTGCTTCTGGGCTTATCTATACCCTTACGGCAGTCTAGATTTCTAGATGTTCTCTACGTAAGAAGAGGGTAAGTAAGGGCTGAGGCTGCCTATCTTTCACTATCCCCTAATCACATCTGTCCTGCTCACCAGACTTAGTAAACCATATATGTATATATGAAATATATTCTTTTGTTTTGGTTCTTGGTTTTGGGGGGGACAAAGTCTCCCTGTAGGCACAGCTGGACTGGCTGTGTAGACCAGGCTAGCCTCCATCTCACAGAGATCTACCTGTCTGCTTCCTGCATGCTGGCACTAAAGTCATGGGCCACATGGGCCACCATGCCAGGCTTGTTTTGTTTTGAGATAGGGTCTTATGTAAATCAGGCTGGCCTCAAGTTCTCTTTGTAGCTGAGGATATATGACTAGCGAATCAAATTTCAATGGTTCTCAGTCTACTGTTTCCTTAAGAGATTAAGTTCTCACCTTCCACTAAATGAGATTGAATTCGTTCTCTTCTTCCACTAAATGAGTTCTGGGAATCAAATTCTTGTTAGATATGGCCAAAAACACCTTTACCCACGGAGCCATTTCACAGGCCCCAGATCCATGTTTTTTAAAATTTTTGGTGTTAATTTTTATTTATATTTTATGTGTTTGTATTGACTGCATATATGTAAGTACACCTGTGTCCTACAATGCCCAAAGGTCAGAAGAGGACGTTGGATCCCCTGGACCTGGAGTTACAGATGGTTGTTAGCTGCCATGTGGATGCTGGGAACAAACCCAGGTCCTCTGCAAGAGCAGTCAGTGCTCTTAACCAGAGGACCATCTCTCTAGTCCTATTTGCTTTTTGAGACAGGGTCTCATTATGTAACACTAGCTGGCCTGGAAATTGCTATGTAGACTACACTGGCCTGGATCTCACAGCCTTCCACCTGCCTCAGCATCTGGAGTGCTGGGATTAAAGGTGGGCGCCACCATGCCCTGCTCTATAGTTTGAGATTTAAAAAAAAAAAAAAAAAAGTGAGGCTGGACGTGGTGGTGCACGCCTTAATTCCAGCATTTGGGAGGCAGAGCAGGCGGGTCTCTGTGAGTGCTGTGATTAAAGGCAAGTGCCACCATGCCCTGCCCTATATTTTGGGATTTTTTTTTTTTTTTGGTCTTTTTTTGAGACAGTCTTCCTATAGCCCCAGCTGTCCTGGAACTCACTAGGTAGACCAGGCTGGCCCCGAACTCACAGAGACCTGCCTGCCTGTGCCTTCGGAGTAGTGGGATTAAAGGCGTGCGTCACCACCCCCGGCCTCACTTTTTCTTTTTTAAAAAAAAAAAAAAAAAAATCTGATGCCGGGCATGGTGGCACACGCTTTTAATCCCAGTACTCGAGAGTGAGCCCCCATCTTAAAAAGCCCCCCCCCCAAAAAAGGGGCTGGAGAGATGGCTCAGCGGTTAAGAACACCGGCTCCTTATTCAAAAGACCCAGGTTCGAATCCCGGCACCCACATGGTGACTAACAGCCGAGACCCAGGGCATCCTACAATCCTCTTCTGAGCTCCGTGGGCACTGCACGAACACTGGTACACTTAATGCAGGCAATGCACTCATACATATAAAACAAAATTAAAGAAAGGAAAAGTGCTTCAATTTCCACTTCCTACTCCAGAGAGAAGGAAAACAAGTCCCTAATAAGGAAATCAACAGACTTTATTGCAAGGGCTTCTTGTCGCCTACAGCAGTTTAAAAGAGAATACCACTGATACCGCCCACCCTTTTAGCTCGGGGCCTGCTCAAGATGGCGGCAGGACCCTAGACAGCACATTTTTGTGAGACATGGTCTCCCTGTAGCCACAGCTGCCCTGGAACTCACTATGGCATAGAACTCACAGAGATCAGCCTGTCTCCGCCTCCGGATTGCGGGGATTAAAGGCGGGACCCACCACGCCGGGCTCCGGAACTATTTAAAAGCAGGCTCCCTTCATTTGCGAACTTTCACCATGCTGAGGCGGGACGTAGAGCCAGACTGCCACTGGTCGGCCTGACGTGTGACGTTTCTTTTCTGCGACAGTTTCCCAAGGTGCCTCGCTCCCAGCGGCACAGACCGGAGCTCCAAGCGAGGCAAGATGGCGGACGTGCTGGATCTTCACGAGGCGGGGGGAGAGGATTTCGCCATGGATGAGGATGGGGACGGTGAGCAGAGTGGAGGCGGCTGCGGGAAGAGGGGAAGGTGCGAGAAGCGTATAATAGGGAGCGTTTTCTGGGATGCGGGCGGTGATCGGGGGTCTTGGTCGGAGACTCCGCCCCTTTGGGAAGGAATAGGGGCGGGACCGCGAAGAGACTGAACGGCCCTGCGCTACTGGTCCAAATCGTTTTGGGAACGAGACGGTTCTTAAAAATGAGTCTTCTTTTTGTTGCTTCTTTTCTCTCCTGGAAATCCAGAAAGCATTCACAAACTGAAAGAAAAAGCGAAGAAACGGAAGGGTCGTGGCTTTGGTTCCGGTGAGTGTGGGGTTGAGTGGGGTTGAGTCCATGGGGCACACTGGGAGAAAGGCAGAGTTTTCGGTGATCTGGTATGTATTCTTTATAGAAGAGGGCTCCCGAGCGCGGATGCGGGAGGATTATGATAGCGTGGAGCAGGACGGCGATGAACCTGGACCGCAGCGCTGTGAGTAAAGGAATCTGTGGGAAATCTGACTATGGCAGTTCAGTGGGAATGAAGTCAGTTTAATCGACCTTGAAGTTTTTCTCTTATGTGCCCTTACAACACCGTCCCCTATCTAACAGCTGTTGAAGGATGGATTCTCTTTGTTACTGGAGTTCATGAGGAAGCCACTGAAGAAGACATCCATGATAAATTCGCGGAATATGGAGAAATAAAAAATATCCACCTCAACTTGGATAGGCGTACAGGATACTTGAAGGTATATTTCATCAGTTGTGTCCCTCTCACATGACTCTTGGATAGCATTGGTGGTTATTCTGTGTTTGCTGTGGTTGGCCAAGAACAGAGATGAAATGACATTAAGAGGATATTTATTTAGCCAGGTGTGGTGGCCCAGGCCTTTAATCCTAGCTCTCTGGAGGCAGAGGCAGGCAGATATGCATTCCAGGACAGCTGGAGCTACAGGAGGGTACTACATGCTTGATGAAATAAGAGAGTTTTGATACTTTTAAATTTTCCCCAGGGGTATACTCTAGTTGAGTATGAAACATACAAAGAGGCTCAGGCTGCCATGGAGGGACTCAATGGTCAAGATTTGATGGGACAGCCAATCAGCGTGGACTGGTGTTTTGTTCGGGGTCCACCAAAGAGCAAGAGGAGGTAAAGTGGAGGGCAAATGTCTATCTTGGTAAAGGGAACATAAGCAAGACAAACAAGGACACTGTATTATGTGCTTCTGATGGACTCCCCTTCTTTTACTTTCCTTAGAGGTGGCCGAAGACGCAGCAGGAGTCCAGACCGGAGACGTCGCTGATAGGTCCTCTGTTGCCCAAGTGGTCTCTCCAGGATTCCATTTGGTTATGCTGCCTTGGATAAATAGGGCTGGGGTAGAACTTGTGTTTATATTTAATATCTTACCCTGTCTATTTAGTATTTCTTTTGAACCAAAAAAATAAATGTTCCATTATTGTTTTCTACATTTAAAATTCCTTTTCTGTTCTGAAAATTCTGAAGAACTCTTTACAGTAGGCATTATTGGTATTGGGAAGATTCTACCGGGGTGGAATTCTGAGCTTCTTCTACTAGGGTTAAAGTAGAGATTCAGCTCAGCATTTTCTTTTCTTAGAAGAGAATAGGGGACGTGAGATTTTCATATCGTATTAGAGAATAATTAGGGGAACAGATAGATGTTACATTAGTGTCTCTTGCTTTTTTTTTTGCTTTGTCTTTTTGAGACAGCTGGAACTCACTATGTAGATCAGGCTGGCCTTGAACTCAAGAGATCTGCCTGCCTCTGCCTCTGTGTCTGTGTGGAAGTATGTGCATGTGAGCACAGGTGTCGGCAAAGGCCGGAGGTGTTGGATTCCCCAGGACCTGGAGTTGTGAGCTGCCCTATGTGGTTGCCTCTGCCACCCCAGGGCAGAGATTAAAAGGTGGGTGCCACCACACCCAACCTATATCCAGCTTTTAATCAGTTTTTAAGTGTACAGTTCAGTGGCATTCATACTCTGTGCTTTTAGTCATTTAGAGACTAGTCAGAAGGGAAAAACCAGTTATAGCAAACACTTCTACTTTTGTTTTTATAGGTATTTCTAGTTTTAGTAGCTTTCCATGTCAGAGTAAAAGTTACAAGGCTGATTATGTCACTGTTCACCTTTTATCATAGTGTGTGTCTACTTCCCGAAAGGTAAATCATAGTATTTGTGATCTAGTCCACCTTTCCTCTCCCTGCCTGCACATTTACCATTTTCTAGTTCTCAACTTTACTGAGATCCTTTCATTCACAACATTTTGACTGTACTTATTTTAACAACTTTGTCTTCTAGAAATCAAAATTTACTGTCTCAGGAAAGTTTTCCCAGAGTACAAGAGGGGTTAAGCACACACTCCATTGTGTTTTAACTCCTTGTTACTAGGCATGGTTCATGCCTATAATCCCAACACTTGGGAGGCTGAGACAGGAAGATTGTCTCCTGCACATATTTTTTTTTAAGATTTTTTTTTTTAATTTAGTGTTTTCCCATATGCATGTGGGTGTGAGTGCCTATAGAGGCTACAGGTGTTGGGTTCCCCTGGAGCTGAAGTTACAGGCAGTTGTGAGCTTCCTGACAGTACTGGGAACCAAACTTCTGTCCTCTGCAAGAACAGTACACACTTAACCACTGAGCCCTAGTGTGTACTGGTTATTGTTAATTCTTTTTTTTCTCTTGGTCTTTTTGAGACAGGGTCTGCCTGTAGCCCCAGCTGGCCCGGAACTCGCTGTGTAGACCAGGCTGGCCTGGAACTCACAGAGATCCACATGCCTCTGCCTCTCAAGTGCTGGGATTAAAGGTGTGTGCCACTATCCCCAACCTTCTTAGACCATGGATTTCCTTCCCTGCCCTGGAGATTATCCTGGAAGAGGTGGGACTGGGAGGCTGCAAAGAGGTGGAAGAAAAGGACAGTAAAGCAAACCTAATAGGCACTGGCAGAGATAACAGGGTCTCAATATGTAGCTCTGGCTGGACTGGAACTCTATGTAGACCAAGATAGCCTCGGACTTTCATGTATGTGTCATCACAGCCAGCAAAAGTCTTGTCTTCAACTGTAAATTAACATGCAAATGATCTTGTCCTAGAGGTAGCAAAGGCCCCCTCCCTAAGGATTCCTGAGTAATAGCTGAAAGCACTGTAGCATAGTCACTTCCCAAGCTCCTAATGTGTAGGCAGGTTCCTATCCAGCCCAGCCTGAGTCCCCCACCAGGAGGCGGTTGACCAGGTTTCCTCTAGACATTTTCTTCCACCTGAGCAGGGATAAAGCTGGTTGAGTGCAGGCAGGAAAGCTGCCTGTATGTGGTTATTAATTTAGAGTCATGAGTGTCTGATGTGTGGCATCTCCAGTCACTGAACAGTAGTAATGTTTCAGGTAGCTAGGGGAGTAAACCACAAAGGTGACCAGTGAATTGGCACCTGCTGAATGGGTGAAGACTGGTGAGGGAGGGAGCTGAGTTATAATCCTGTCACTGACCACAGCACTGCTAGGTTTCCTTCAACTGAAGAAACAGACCACAATTGTCACTTTGGCTGCAGCAGAGGTGGGTAGCTCTGAAACTTCTGCCTAGTACTCATTCTGCACAGACGTCCTCCCCGAGTGTGCCGCTGCCAAGAGACCTGAAAGCATGGAAGGTGGCTGCTTGGAAGGAAAGTTGAGGGTGAAGTGTGGCTGCGGAGGTTAGGTTGCGGGATGCATTTCACTGTACTTTTCAGAACGTGAAGGCGGTTATTGTGAATTTTGTCTGTTAAAGTCTGTCTTTGGGATCCCATCTATTTCAGAGGGTTACTTAACTGGATCTCCTGTTAATCAGATCCTTTTTTGCCATGAACAAATAAATACTCTGGGATTGAGGCGGAAGCCTGGGGCCCCTAGGTGCCTACTGAGGTGCGCGCTGGGACCGCCTCCCAACCTCCGCCTCACTCCTCGTCCGGAATACTTAAAGTCGAGTGTGCTGCGCGAAGCCAGCCTAGAGGTTTGAGACCGGCTTCCGAGGGGTGGATCTTCCGGAAACACCATACCACGCCAGTGTGGGCTTCGAGATAAGTGCTTCCGTCCTGAATTTCCACTCCACCGAGCGGCTGCGCCGGCTGGCTTTCCTGGCGCCATTTGTCCCTCGCGGAGCCCCGTTGATCGCCCAAGAGGCGTGGCTCGGGACTGGTAGAAGGCGGCCGCGGCGCTGTGGGGCCCGGGCTGCCGCCGTCATGGACGCCTGGGTCCGCTTCAGCGCCCAGAGCCAGGCCCGGGAGCGGCTGTGTAGGTGCGGCCGAAGGCGGACAGGGCGGGGAGGGCCGCGAGGCGGGGGCCAGCCAGGCTACGGGGGCCCCGAGGGCCAGCCAGGCTACGGGGGCCCCGAGGGCCAGCCGGCTACGGGGGCCCACACAGCCGCCGGGCGGGCGCGGAGTGCGCCGGGGAGATGACTGTTAACGGGAGAGATGGGGAGACTGAGGCATGCGTGGGCCAGCGGGAGGCCGCCTACGGTTACAGTGCCTGCAAAAGATCCGCACTTCCCTCACTGGCTTGGCAGGAGAGCTGGCTCCAGGAAGAGAGACCGGACTGTTGTCCGTACTGCGGAGACCCGTCCCGCTCTGTGCCCTCTCTGGCTGTCCCCCAGGAGACATTTGTTCCATTCAGTCCGTTCAAGGACTGTAGTTCACCTGTCCCCAAGAAAAATCTGCCCTCCATCGAGCTCGCCCTCTAGTGTCTCGTGTATGTTTGTGGGAGGACTGCTTGTGATGGACCCCTGCTGCCCACTGGCCCCCTTTAGCCTCATGGTTGTCAAAACACTTTACTAAATTTCAAAGATTTTATTCATTTTATATGAATGAGTGTTTTACCTGAATGTAAGTGCACCATGTGGGTGGAGTGCCCAGTGCCAGTGGAGACCAGAAGTGGTCATAGGAGTCCCCTGAAACTGGAGTTACAGTCAGTTGTAGGCAGCCTTGTGGGTGATGGGAACTGAACTCTGGCCCTCTGCCCGTGCTCTGAACCGCTGAGCCATCTCTCTAGCCCCTAAACTCTTCGTTGACTTAGAACAGTGCTCTCCACCCTTTATAGGCTTAAAAAAAAAAAAAAAAAATCCTGACTTTCCCTTCCCCTGGCATGGAGGAGAAACGGTGAGGAATGGAGGAAATGTCCCCTGGAGGACATTAGGGAGGTCTGCACCTTACTTTGCCTATCCTCCTCCAGGGCCGCCCAGTATGCTTGCTCCCTTCTTGGCTATGCTTTGCAGAAACATGGGGCCAGTCCTGAATTACAGAAACAGATTCGACAACTGGAGGGCCATTTGAGCCTTGGAAGAAAGTGTAAGTACCTGCACCCTTCTGTCAGCCCCATCTACCAGCCTATTGCCCCTCCTTCCTTTTATTACCCTTTCTTCCAGGTGGCTCTGCACACCTTCTGCATGCCTCCCATTGAGATAAGAGAACTGGAAGTTAGGGCTGAATGGAGAGATTGGGGCAAGATAAAGCTAAACTGGGATGAAAAGTAATGGAAAATTTGAAGTAAAAATGAAGTGTTTCTACTCTTTTTTTACGTTACTATTTCTTGCTCAACTTTTTTTTTTTTCTCTCCTCTCTTTCCTCTTCTTGCTTGGCCTTCCTACTTCCATTTCCTTGCTTTCCTTTGTTATTCTACACAAGTGCTACGCCTGGGTAACTCTGCAGATGCCCTTGAGTCAGCCAAAAGAGCTGTGCACCTATCAGATGTGGTCCTGAGGTTCTGCATCACTGTTAGTCATCTCAATCGAGCCTTGTACTTCGCCTGTGACAATGTTCTGTGGGCTGGAAAGTCTGGACTAGCTCCCCGTGTGGACCAGGAGAAGTGGGCACAGCGTTCATTCAGGTCTGTTACCATTTCATCCTACAAGACCTTTTCTGTAGCCTCCATATTGGATAGCTTGCCTCTTGTTTTTAAAATATTTGTTTCTTTTTTCTTTTTAAAAATTTTAAAAATTTAATAACCACATGATTAGAAGAAGCATTTCATTACAGCTTTAACATATTCAGTAACACATTCCAGAGCAAGGATATGTCTCTTTCAAAGGTGGCGGTAAATTTTTAGGTTCGCAGTTGAATTAATACAGTCATACAATATTGAACTCAGTATAAACCCTGTAAAGACATAAAATTGAATGAGTTTAAAGAAGATCTCCATTTCATTTTAAGATATGCAATTTCCTACATTTTTAATGCTATTAACACATGTTTACACGTTTTTAATCTCTATGTATCTGATTATTACTAGTCAAAGTTGGTTACACTCGGATCTTTAGTACCTGAGTATGGATATAAAGTCATCAGGTAGATTTCACTGGTAATGTTTATCACCTCTATTATTTAACATGAAGTAAAATTAAAAATTTTAATAACTAAAAATCTCCATTTCATTTTAGAATATATTGTTCCTTGCAGAAAGACTCATTGTTTTTGCTACTAACACTGAGATGTTGTCACATGCATCTCTAATCTGTATGTATCTGATTATTACTAGTCATAATCGGTTGCACTTGGATCCTTAGCAACTGTGTATGTCTATAAAGTCACCGGGTAGATTTCAGGGTAATGTTTATCACCTCTACTAATTAACATGAAACAAATTTTTATGCTTCCTCCTCTTTTTAATTTGTTGATTTTTTTGTGTGTATCTCAGCTACATT